CGATGCGGGGCTCGATCCCAGGACCCTGGGATCATGACCTGAGCCGAAGGCAGACACTTAACAACTGAGCCACCCAGGCGCCCCTTATCGTTTGTTTGAAAAGGTCTTTTAGGGGCGCCTGGCTGGCTCAGTCAGTGGAGTGTGCGACTCTTGATCTTAGGGTTATGAGTTCGAGTCTCACGTTGGGTGTAGAGATTACTTAAAATCTTAAAAAAATTTAAAAGGCTTTTTAAATTTATCCCTCCTACCAGTTTTTATGTGTTTCTTATTCTGTGTGATACTTTCCTCCTAAAGTAAGGATTCATATTTAGAAGGTGCAGTGTGAGAATGGGTCAGAGGAAAGCAGGAGGGAGAAGAAACCAGTCAGGGTCAGAGATAGAGAGCATGAGAGGGAAGAGGGTCAGAGGGAGAAGCAGACTCCCTGCTGAGCAAGGAGCCCGATGTGGGACTCGATCCCGGGACTCCAGGATCATGACCTGAGCGGAAGGCAGTCGCTTAACCAACTGAGCCACCCAGGCGCCCCTTTTTTTTTCATATTTATGTGGGCAGATTTCTCAGTCTGGTTTTTTTCCTTTGGAGTCATACATGTTAGACTGCTCTTCCTTATCTGTAAGTTATGTGGGCTGTCATTTTTAATGTCTGGATAATGTTTCATCTGTAATTTACTTAGCCCTCAACAGCTTTTTAAAGTATTTGAATTACTTGTAAATAGGAAATGAAAATTGATAGCACTTTTAGTAAGTGCCACAGTATCCACAGAATTTGTGACTGCTCAGTAAATATCCACTAGCCATAGTAAATATCAAATATCCACGTGTCAACACACGTGAAGTTTTCCAAACTTACTGACATGACTACATTTCCTTGCTCTGTGCTTCCGGTGCTCTTCCAGGGCCTGGCTGTGCGGGAGCGTGGGAGCCGCAGAGCAGGGCAGAGGGTGCCATGGACAGGGCAGCAGTTCTAGAAGGATAGAGCCAGAAGGAAGGTCATGCCTGTGAACGTGTAAATTCAGCAGGCGGATGCAGGGCCCCGGCCTGGGTGCCTTGTCACGTTGGTTTGTTTTTAATTAGTTACATCTGCCTTTGAGTAGCCTTTCCGCGGCAGAAGGGAGACAGCTTGGGTTATTTGACATCCATAGACCAGGTTTTCCTCTTCTCCCTGCTCCTGCTTCCCCCGACTGCCAACAGCTTGATGCCTGTGTGTGCGCCCGCGTTCTGGCACCTGCCCGTGTGGAGTGGGGAATCTTACCGAGGATGCCGTGGGTGGCCTTCAGGCTCACTGGGCCCAGGAGCCAGGCGGTATTTGTGTGGCTGTGTACTTTTTCCTGGGAGAGGGTTCACCACTTTCTTCAGATGCTCCAGGAGGTACATGCCCGAAAATCTCGAAATGGTAGAAAATGTCCTTGAATGGCAGAAGCAAATGTTACTGGAGGACGATCGTGGAACCACCTGCGGGTCAGAGCCTGGCACCCTAGACTGGGCCATAAAATGACGATTTGGGCTAATCTTGGTGGTTTTGTTCACTCACGATCACAGTAAGATGACGTTTTCCTGAACCCTGGCACCTGGGAAGCATGCGAGTAGCATGGGGTCAAGGCACGTGGTAGCCAGAGCTGGCACCCTGCACGTTGATGACTGACGAGGACACTGCAGAGAGAGAAGTAAGGTCAGTGAGTGCCTGGGGCTCTGGCCCGAAGCAGACAGCTCCAGACCACGTGCAGGAGGCTCAGGCCGATGTCCTCGAAGGAAAAAGTAAATTGTGCTCACTGCGCTTCACCGAGGAGACAAGATTTCCAACAACTTCAGGAGCTCTTGGGGGTGTTAGTGGGTTAAATCTTGGGAATCTGGAGGGTGGAAGCTGAAAACCTGATGTGAATGCGTCAGCCTTCATTAGATGTGCTCCCTGACTCCCCTTTCCGTGTTGTGCTGAGTGAAAGCTAGGACAGGGACCGCCGAGTGCTCCCTCCGTGGCAGAGCACGCGTGCGTTCCTGTGACTTCCTTACCCTGTGCCAGCAGCTGTTGGAGGTGAACCAGGCACCTCCTCTGGTGGCATTTACTGTCTGGCTGGAGAGACAGGCAGGAAACGAGTCATGCAGTAACATTGGAGGCTCAGCTACGTGAGGCTGGAAATAAGCAGATTGTGGTGATAGATTGGGTGGGAGGTGGCTGTTAGAGGTAGTGATGTTCGGGGATGCTGACCATTGGCCATGTCCTGAGGGACCAGCTGGCCACATGAGGCACCAGGGACAGAAGGGGAAGGCTCTTCCAGGCAGAGGGAACGGCAGTGGCCAAATCCCTGACGTGGGGAAGGGCTTGGTTGAGTTTGAGATCCAGAGAAAGCCAGTGTCTGGACTACGAAGAAGCTGTCCTGTCCCAAACTACAGGCTTGTGAGCTGTGGTAAATATTTCACATTGTACTCAAAAGATGAATGCAAATCCTCAGGAAATGCTAACGATTGACGTTTTTAGAAGTGTGCAAGGTGCAGTGTGAGAATGGGTCAGAGGAAAGCAGGAGGGAGAAGAAACCAGTCAGGGTCTTTTCGGTTTGGTTTGGTTTCTTTGCATATCCAGGCAGATGATGAGGCAGTCTGCGTGAGGGGGTGTGTGGTGGAGAAGCAGAGAGTGGTGGACTCCTACATTTTGACATCAGAGCTAACAGAACTTTTGGGCAGATTGGATGATGTCACAAGACAGAGGGTCAAGGGGGACCCTGCGGTTTGGGGCTAAAAGCTGTTGGAGTTGGAAGGGTGGGGTGTGGGGGGAGTTGGGACAGATCCAGGTGTACCGCTCTGGTAATGACGGATTTGAGATGCGCGTCCGATCAGGAGGGAGATGCCGAGTAGTGTGTTGGGTGTAGATCTGGAGCTCCAAGGTCAGGCTCCGAGGAGAGGAGAGGAAGGAACTCCCTTCCCTGGTCCTTGTGAAGCTCTGGGTGATTTCGCTCAGGTTTCATCTCTGCATCCAGGTGACCTTCAGGTGATCTCTGTCAGATTCTTCCACACTTATAACCGCATGTGTCTCCTTCATGCTTCTCTTTGCCTTTGAGCCATGCGGTTTAATCGTTATTAAAATAATCTGGAAACACTGACCGTTGACCAAGGCTGATTGATACTGATGTTTTTGAATTTGAGGTCATGAGCAAATGATTGCTTTCACTGGGCAAGGCATGTTGGATGCAGAGATTATGGTTTCACTGGAATTCCAAGCTGGAGCTACGAATGTGCAAATGTATGTATGTGAGCGAGTTTACAGAAACAAAACACTGACATAAATGTTTGTGTCATCTCCATCTGATTTCTAGTCTGAGTGGTTCTTAGAAGGTTTTAGGTGAACCTTCCATTGATTTTTTTTGTTTAACTCATTTCTCCTTTTCCCATATGTGAGCTGCATCTAATAAGGAAAACACAGCTGTAAGAGAAGGGGAACAGCATAAACTGCAAAGGCCCCTGCGCTGTCACGATTTACTGTTACTTTAGTCTATATTTGTCTCACTTGTGTCCTTTGGTTTCCTTTCCCTAGGCTGTTGCAAATGAATCCGGACTGAACTTTATATCTGTCAAGGGCCCCGAATTGCTCAACATGGTAAGTTGCTGTGGCCTCAGCCATGAGTATAACTTAGGAGGCTCGCGGCCCCTCCACTTAACGGGGTGGAGCGTCCTCAGCCCTGGAAACGGACGCAGCATTTTGGTAAAATCTCCGCTGCAGGCGGTACCAAGTGTGTGTAACTGCTCTCCTTAGTGAGTCTCCTCAGCTCTGAGCCTCCGTGTTCCCACCTGCGAAATGGAAGTAACATTTAAAGTGTGTGCTCTGTGCTGAGCGTTCATCACATGCTGTACACACATGGTTGGCCCTTGAGCGGCCTGGGTTTGAGCTGCACAGGCTTACTTATGTGCGGAGACTTTTCAGTAAATATGGTCTTAGCAGTGTGTTTTCCTTACGATTTCCTTAATCATATTTTCTTCTCTCCTGCTGATAACTTTCTTGTAAGAATTCAGTGTGTGATACACAGAACATACAAAGTAGGTGTCAGTCGACTGTTTATATTGTTGGTAAGGCTTCTGAAGGTCAACAGCAGGCTGTTAGTGGTTAGGTTTTGGGGGAGTCAAATGTTACATGTAGATTTTCGATGGCAGTGGGGAGGGGGGTCGGCGCCTCTAACCCCGTGCATTGTTCAAGGGTCACGTGCATTCTTCTTCAGCAACCCTGTGAGACACGAATTATTGTTTCCTCTGATTCCTGATTTCCAAACAAGGAAACTGAAGTCTGCAGGCAGCACGCACCTTGGCCAAAGTCCGAGGGCTGGGGGAGGAGAGCTGAGGTTTGAATCTCGGTTACGTGACTCCTCTGCTTGCCTTGCCCTCGTGTCCTGTGGCGCAAACAACTCGGGTTGTTTTTTTCTTTAAAGCAGGCTCCACACCCAGCACGGAGCCCAACACAGGGCTTGAACTCATGACCCTGAATTCATGACCTGAGCCAAGATCAGGAGTCGGACGCTCAACCGACTGAGCCACCGAGGCGCCCCCCCAAATGACTTAAGTTTTAATTAAAAGTATTTTGGGGGAAAAATACTACCATCCTATGTACTAACTTCTTTCTGTAATTAGTTTATACTGTCTCAAATTTAAGAGATTTTGAATATCTTATTATCTCTTCATCCCTGTGAGAAGTAAAAATGCCATTCTGTCATGTATTCAAATGAAGAAGTGAAAGTATTATTTTTTTTTTAAGGTTTTATTTATTTGACAGAGACACAGCGAGAGAGGGAACACAAGCAGGGGCAGTGGGAGAGGGAGAAGCAGGCTTCCCACTGAGCAGGGAGCCCGATGCGGGGCTCGATCCCAGGACCCTGGGATCATGACCTGAGCCGAAGGCAGACACTTAACAACTGAGCCACCCAGGCGCCCCTTATCGTTTGTTTGAAAAGGTCTTTTAGGGGCGCCTGGCTGGCTCAGTCAGTGGAGTGTGCGACTCTTGATCTTAGGGTTATGAGTTCGAGTCTCACGTTGGGTGTAGAGATTACTTAAAATCTTAAAAAAATTTAAAAGGCTTTTTAAATTTATCCCTCCTACCAGTTTTTATGTGTTTCTTATTCTGTGTGATACTTTCCTCCTAAAGTAAGGATTCATATTTAGGCGTTTCCTGTGGGCTTTCTTTTTTTTTTTTTTTTTTTTTTTTTTATTTATTTGACAGAGAGAGAGAGAATACACAAGCAGGGACTCCATCCCAGGACCCTGGGATCATGACCTGAGCTGAAGGCAGACGCTTAACGACTGAGCCCCCCAGGCGCCCCTCCTGTGGGATTTCTATGTGTGTACTTCTCTTGTCCTTCATTTCGGCAGTGGAGGTGTTAGAAATGAACCTTGGCAGGAGAGGATTGATCAGGGATGAGGCTGGAAAAGAAGGTCCTGTGGGACAGTGAAGGGCCATCCTCTGCGCTAGAGCTGGGTTGTCCTCTCTAGAATCGCGGAGACCCAACAGAGGCTATAAAGCAAGCGTGTAACGTTTTGTTTATTATGAAATATCCCAAGCACAGAAGAAGTTATGAAGAATAATGGAATGAATCCTCTGTATCTGTCACCCAGCTTTAAAAAATACACAAAACCAAGATATTCGACGCTCCTGCAGACCTTCCCTAACCATGATGCAGTTCTCTCTCCCGGAGAATTTACCATAATCCTGAATTTGGTGTTCATTAATTCTGTGTACTTTCTACATTTACTCTATATGTATTTATCCCTCAGCAACACGCAGTATTATCGTACACGTTTCATCATTGTTTAGGGGACAATTGGAAATTTGAACACTGGATATTTGATGTTAAGAAAATAACTTCTAGGGGCGCCTGGGTGGCTCAGTTGGTTAGGCAACTGCCTTCAGCTCAGGTCATGATCCTGGAGTCCCGGGATCGAGTCCCACATCGGGCTCCCTGCTCAGCAGGGAGTCTGCTTCTCCCTCTGACCCTCTTCCCTCTCGTGCTCTCTCTCATTCTCTCTCTCTCTCTCAAATTAAAAAAAAAAAAATCTAAAAAAAATAAAATAACTTCTAAGGGAAGGGCGAACTCGGTGCGGGTATGCGGAGTGCGCTCGTACTAATGAGCACTGAGTAAGGCAGGGAGGTGTGCATCACCATGTGCATTCCTGAAACTAATACTACACTGTATGTTCCTGGCACTGGAATTAAAACTGAAAAAACAAAAGGAAAATCAGTTTTAAGTGTGATGATGTCGTTGTCAGAAACCATTGTTTTTCGTTAGAGATAGGGAAATATTTACAAATAAAATACGATGTCTGGGCTCTCCTTCAAAATGACAAGAACGAAAAGCGGAGCATCTCTTAGGTGAAAATTGGTCAGGAATTGAGCAGATGATGATTGAGCTGGGTGATGGGCCTGTTTGGGGTTCAGTATACTCTTATGCCTACTTTTGTTACGTGTTTGGAACGCTTTCATAAACAGTAAAGCAAAGACAAAAATAACCCACTTTATCTAAGTGGTACATGTTCTTTTGTAACTTGATTTTATTGTTATTTTTGTTGAACATTATAATTCTTTTAGAGTTCCCGGACCCAGTTCCGGGGGGCAAGGGATCACCCCCCCCAAAACATCGAGCAATCTCAGACACTGGCAGGGGGGTCTAAGAACTCAACTCACGTCAACTCCGTTCTGGCACAGTCGGCCAGGACACAGCATCAGACTCCACAGGCTAGGGGCTCAGTCCTACAGCAGGGTTCCCCATCCTCCACTGCAGACACCAGGCCCAGGCCCCAGGCTGTCACCAGATTGGAAGTTCCAACAGCCTCCTCCTTCTTTTGCTAATTTGCTAGAGCAGCTCCAGAACTCAAGTGTGTTGATAAAGGATAAGATGATAAAGGATATGATAAAGGATAAGAATCTACCTCCAATGAAGAGATGAATGGGGCAAAGTCCCAAACAGGAGTCTCTCGGAGCTTGGGGCCTGGCTCTGGGGTACGGGGCGGCAAACCGCTTACCTGGTATGAAGGACTGAAAAACTGTCGTCTTGGGTTTTTGTGGAGGTGTGATTACATGGCCATAATCGGCTGAGTCACTGACCATTGGCTGATTCAGTCTCCAGCACCGTCCCGTACCGGGAGGTCGGGGGTGAGGACTGAAAATTCCATTCCTCTGACCACACATCCTCCTGGCAGCCAGCCCTGCCCTCGGGTGGGGTCCAAATTCACCTTGATTAGCAAGACCTTTTACTTTTGTGGCCCTGAGGGTTCTCAGAAACCGTGGGTTAAGACCAGATATATCTGAGTGACCTAATGAATATTTCTTCTAAATCATTCTGTCGAAGATTTTATTTTGGTTGGTATGTTTCCCTCGAGGTCATTAGTCTTCTGTGTGGTATTCCACTAAATGGATATCACCACACTTTAAAAAAATGAGCTGCTTTCTTGATGTTTAGGTTGAACATTATATACGCATATATACATATATTTGGGAGCTGTTTCCCAAGGGTGTGTACATGAGGACAATTGCTGTCTTTTCTAGAGCGTGTGCACTTTCAAAAATAGTTTTGCCAGCTTTTTTCCCAAGGTGGTTGTTGCTGAGTTACATGTCCCCCAGCTGTGATTGGGGGTCCCCATGGCCTCACTAGCACCATGGTGTCAGATCTGAGAAGTGCGATGGTCATCTCATGGCGGTCTCACCTGTTCTCTAGGGAGAGGTGTGAAAGAGGTCTGCAGCAGAGTCCAGCATGACTGGGGCAGAGATGAGGTGGTCTGTTGAGGAAGATTGACCTCTCAGGGTTAGAAAATGCATTTGCTCTGGGGAATTTCAGACTCAAGGGGTCTGGAGATGTCCAGCAGATGCGTGGATGTGAGTCTGGAGCGTTGAGATTTGGGGTGGCACCTGAAACCCTGGGAACGGGCCGTGTCTACTAGGGGGTGCATTGAGCGGGGCCCCTGATGGCTCTGGGGCAAGGAAGGAAAAGTTGGCCAAGCAGCCTGGTCTCCTGAAGGGGGAGGACGCCCAGGACTTTCTAAGCCTGAAAACCTTGGGGGCGGGGGCCGGCTAACTTCTTCAACCTTGTCGGTGTAACCAGACCGAGTACCAGGAACTGAAAGTAGGACCTTGGGTTTGGCAACTAGAAGGTCGTTAGTGACTTTAGGGAGAGTATTTTCACTAACTGTGTTTGCAAAAGCTAGATTATCAAGGTTCAAAACTGAATGGCAGGGGTGCCTGAGTGGCTCAGATGGTTAGGCGTCCGCCTTTGGCTCAGGTCATGATCTCAGGGTCCTGGAATTGAGTCCTGCAGCAGGCTCCCTGCTCGGCGGGGGGTCTGCTTCTCCCTCTCCCTCTGTTGCTCCTGCTCCTGCTCTCTCTCTCTGTATCTCTGTGTCTTAAATGAATAAATAAAACTTAAAACAAATACAGAATTAGAAATGATATGTATAGTCTCCTTACTTGAAATATTTCTTAAAGGCCAACATAGTGGGGTTTTCTTTTGTTTATTTTTAATCAGTGTTGCCTTTGTTAAGATTAACTGACCTTTTAATGTGTCCTTTTGAAACTTGAGGTTTACCTTCCCCTGAATTAAGTTTTTCTTTTCTTGGTCGTTGTGGTTTGCCAAGTCCACAGTCCTTGTGCAATGTTCACTGTCCCCGTCTGTCCCCATGGGAGACTTTACCTCTGACAACTCACGGCTAGCTTTTCTTGTAAATGTCTGATGATGTTGGTTCAGCGTTCCAGACAGAACTTGTTCTGACTTAGATTCTTTAGGAACCCGAACCAGTCTACTGTATTTGTGCAGAGTGCACGGTGTGACGATGGAGATGAATGTGCCAGTGCCATGTCCTCCTGAGGACTTCCCACTACAACGCGGCGAAGGTGCACAAGCTGCAGGTTACAGTAGTAGAGACGCCGTGACAGAGAGGAGTCGGCAGACAATCGGGAGACCTGGGGGCGGGCTGGGAAACAGCGCAGACGTGAGAAGCACAATGAGCAGAAGTACCGAGAAAGGACAGGGCGGCCGTGAGGGAAGGCAGTTCTGCTCACGGGAAACTTACACTTTCGTCACTGTCGTCCGTGATGTGCCTCATGCCTGTGTGACTTTACCATAAAACAGCACAGCGGATACTTGTAGTTTTCAGATTCTGTCTGATTCAGCTGTTGTATCATGAAAAAACCTGCTTTTCTTAGTTAACCAGTTCGAAATTTTACAGGAACAATTTTTTACGCTTCACCAACAGTGAGAACATATTCTCACATGTGACTTTCTAATGTTATAGCTGCCTGTGAATTGCTGTATTTCTTGACCGATCTTACTGTTCTATATTTTGATTTCGGTTTTATTTTTTTTTAAGTTTTTATTTATTTAAGTCATCTCTACACCCAACACGGGGCTCGAACTCATGGCCTCGAACTCGAGAGTCACACGCTCCTCTGATAGAGCCAGCCAGCCCTTGATTTAGACCAACGTACAGTATGTTATACGAAGCCTGTGGAGGCCCCACTGGCTCGCCTGCCTCCTCTGATGGTGTATGACGGCAGCATGACCGTGTGGAAAACATGACAGAGCGGCAAACAGCAGTTACAACACGGCTGAAGTCACGAGAGTTACAGCTGGGTGTCTTATGTGATCAAGCTTAGGAGATCGGTTCTAAAACACAATAGGATTATGGGATTATTTTTGACCTGGAGGAGACCTTACATTCACTTCGCAAACAAGGAAATGTATAAGCATCAGTAATAACTGATTTTAATACGTTGAGCCACACGGCTGTTTTTATGCATCAAAAATGGGTGCCTGTCAGCAGTTGCATGTGGTTCAACCAAATACTTCTTGGACTCTGATACCTACCTGTCGTTTAGAACTAGTTTTACCGAGATTTGGCCGCAACCCCAGGGCTGACAGGTCTGTGTTGTTTGTGTTGTGTCAGTATGTCGGTGAGAGCGAGCGTGCAGTCCGCCAGGTGTTCCAGCGAGCCAGGAGCTCTGCGCCCTGTGTCATCTTCTTTGACGAAGTGGACGCCCTGTGCCCTCGAAGGTCAGACCGGGAGGTAGGTGTAAGTGCCCTAATAAACCTTCTGTGAGTTCTGACAAAGTCGTTCCCCAAGAACACTGCAATTGTTGCAGTGAAGAAACCTGGTAATTCGAAATGAGGGCCTGGGGGTGACAGTTGGTTTTTCTTGGCCTCTGCTTCCATTTCTGCCTACATGATTTTGGTTGCACTGGTCTGGTTCACGCAGGCGGGCGGTTGGGAACGGGAATGACGTGGCTTCAGAGAGCCCGCCTTGTGATGGTGACTCTCTTCTGACACATGGTTTCTGGAGACAGGAGAAAATGTAATTTAACATCCCCTCGAAATAGGGCTGGGCTTTAAGACTCAGCCGTGCTCCTTGTCTGCACCGGACACCCCTGCGTCACTGGGCTGAGTCACAGTTGGTAGGAATTTCGGTGCGGTGAGCTCCTGGAGTGCTGTTATCACGGGGACTCTTGTCTCCGAGTCCACAGCGGAACAAAGCCTCCTGTAAGCAACAGACGGCCTTTCTGAAACAGGTAGCAGAGACTCTCTGATAAGGACATTCATGGCGAGATGACTAAGCAGGTGATTTTATTTCTTTTGTGATTTTTCTTCACATAGTTGTTCTGTGCGTGCCCGGAAGGTTGTAAAACAGTTACTAAATGCCTCATTTTGCTCACAGTCTCCAGAAGCCTTCCAGAGTCGCAAGAACAAAACTCATGTCCGTATGATCCATGTCACAGCAAGATTGTTTCCTCATCCAGGAGTCCTCACTAGCATCCCAGAAAATCCCTCCCCAGTCTTGTCTCTCACGGTGACATCTGTGGCCGGGGCAGAGGCCCTTCCCCAGTTGTCCTGGCTGCTGTGACGTTCTAAATCCCATGTAGGATTCAGAGCCAAGCACTGCCCTTTATAGCCTGCTGGTTGGGGCGTGGTACGCTCTGGGTCTGACTCCTTTTTATCTCCTTTGTGGCTCCGCATAAGCCCTTCATTTGTCAGCAACCCCGTCCTTGGTTTGCAGCCAGCCACCTGTCATCGGCTGGGAGGTTAATTTGCAGGGGTGCACCGAGTGCATGCAGTCCGCCGCCTGCCTCGGAGAGTCTGCGGCCCGGGAGCCGCACTCCTGACGTCTGGCTTCTCTTGCCCTCTCTTGGATGTGTACGAACACAGTTTCCGTATTCCAGTACATGTGTTCTGCTTTTTTGACATTTTCACATGAGGGGAATTCTGAAAATATGTTAAATTTGAATGTCTTCTTTTCTTATACAGGTTATACATGAACACGTACTTAGGACAAAATTCAAATACAAGTGTTAAGAGATAGAGAGTCTTTCTTCCCAATTTTCTCCCTGTTACTCTCCTCGGAGGTTACTGTTGCCACCACTTTTGTGTGTGGTATTTGTCATTCTAAAAGTGTCTCCGTAAACTTAAAAACATGTGTGACTTACATCTGTTTTTTTATATAAATGCGGTCATTCATCTTGATGATTTTCCCATGTACTTAATAACTTTTCTTTTTTTTAAGATTTTATTTATTTGTCAGAGACAACACAAGCAGGGGGAGTGGGAGAGGGAGAAGCAGGCTTCCCACTGAGCAGGGAGCCCGATGCGGGGCTCGATCCCAGGACCCTGGGATCATGACCTGAGCTCAAGGCAGACGCTTAACCGACTGAGCCACCCAGGTGTCCCTAATAACTTAATTTTTAACGATTGCATAAATATTCCACAGTCTGGAAATAGAAGTATTTCTTGAATCACACTGTTTCCAGTTGTTTCTCTTACAAACAGAACTGAAGTGACATTCTTATCACATATTTCTGTGCATGTGGGAGAGTTTTAGAAGTGGGATATCAGCATAGATGTATATGCATTTTTTTTTTTTAAGATTTTATTTATTTATCTGACAGCAGGAGAGCACAAGCAGGGGGAGAAGCAGGTAAAGGGAGAAGCAGACTCCCCACTGAGCAGGGAGCCCGATGTGGGGCTCCATCCCAGGACCCTGGGATCATGACCTGAGCCAGAGGCAGACACTTAACCAACTGAGCCACCCAGGCGCCCCTTGCATTATGTTCTGAAAGCTAACACTGAGTCATCCTTCACAAAAACTACCAGTTACACATGCCCGCCAACAGTGCGTGAAAATAACCATCTCCTGTACCTTTGTCAGCAATGGGTAACACCCATCTGAAAATTGTTGTCAATTTTATTGGCAAAACATGGTATTAAATCTTAGTATTTGTGTCCCCGATTATCAGTAAGGTTGATTGTCTTCCGTGAATGTGTATTTCATCTTCTATAATTTGCCTGATCAGATACATTGACCCTTTTGCTCTTAAAATTTTGTTTTGATTTCTAGGAGCTTTTACGTGTTCCAGAAAGAGTCCATTGTCCAGTTATGTGTGTTGGTGCTGTTTTTCTCTGTCTTTTCACTTACCTTTAATTTGTTTACTACATACAATGTTTTTTTTTTTTTAAGATTTTATTTATTTATTTGAGAGAGAGAGAATGAGAGATAGAGAGCACAAGAGGGAAGAGGGTCAGAGGGAGAAGCAGACTCCCCGCTGAGCAGGGAGCCCGATGTGGGACTCGATCCTGGGACTCCAGGATCATGACCTGAGCCGAAGGCAGTCGCCCAACCAACTGAGCCACCCAGGTTATAATTTTAATATAGTAAAACTGGTCATCCTGTTCCTACACTGATTCTGAGGGTTTCGTCTTGTTGAGGTAGGACAGGGTTTGGTTGTTGCCCCATGTTGCTGTATTGTTTTGAGTCTGGATTATAATTATCTTCATCCTCTTGATTTGTTGGTGTCGCGTCTCCCCGGAGTGGTGACGTGCGCCAACTACTTTCTGGAGAAATCCTCAGGTAAACTCATGACCACCTCTGACCGTGGACTTTCTGTTGAAGAAGGGTGGTCATGACAGACGCACAGAGACCCACAGACGCACGTACAGAGACACACACGCAGACACAGACAGACACATAGAGACACACAGACACAGACTCCCCACTTCTCTTGTCTCCTCCATTGTGCATTTAGAACAGTTCTGTGTCCAAGTGAGTTACCTGTCTGTCCACCACCTCCCTGGTCCTTTCTCTTGGATGTTGCCCCAGGGTAGCTCTGCTTTGTACTGTGGGCTTCCAGGAAAAGAGGAAAAGCCTCCGTGCCCCAGCGCAAAGATCAGGAGCATCTCACATCCTGGGGGATCTCTCCACGCTGAGTCTACACTTGACCCACGGAAATCCACTGCGGCCAGCAGATCTTTGAATAACTCGGAGGCAGGAGACTCAGGTCAGCCAGGCCTGTGTGTGTCTAGCTGAGAGGCCTGGACAGGTGGTCTCTCTGAGCCTTAGCTTCCTCCTTCTGGGAGAGGGGACACCAGGACTTGGGGGAGTTCCTGATGAGAATGTGTTTTGCCCAGCGCCTCTCAGAAAATGATCACCGTTACGTCTTGACCAGAGTTTTCATTCCAGTTAGCAAATCGTTGTTTTGTATGGAAAAACGTGGTGTGTTTTCTCTTTTGTTGGGAACTGATGGAGCTGTCTTTATTGATTTTTAGACAGGGGCAAGTGTCCGGGTGGTGAATCAGCTACTTACCGAGATGGACGGTCTCGAAGCGCGGCAGGAGGTGTTCATTATGGCAGCCACCAACCGGCCAGGTGAGGAGAAGCCATGGGATTTACATACATCCTCGTAATGGAAGATGACATTTAGGAAATCGCTTTTGGGCTCATAAGTTGAAATAAAACCTTAGGAAGCTCCTGTGTAAGCTAGAGTAAAAAACATAGTATTACCGACCAGATTTCGTGAGATTTTTTTTCTATGTTGGCGCTCCGAAGGTAGTCCAATTGGCAGAAAGCTCAGAATGTACACTCGTGACCATACAAGTATTATCAGAATTTATGTCCTATGGTTTCTCTCAAGCTCGTAGGAAACAGGATCCAGACGCTTCTCACTGTATTTGAAGGTCAAGGATTTATATCGGCATCATGTCCCTATACCTGCATTGAACTAGTACTTCAAGTTGTGTGTAAGCCTCAGCGCCGCGAGGGGTGTAGAAAGGGCTCCACACTTCAGACGTGCTTCGGGTGCTCTCCCTGTGGGTCCCGCATTCTCTTCCTGTTGTTTAACCCTCTGCCGTCCACGGGAGCCTCTGGCTGTCGCAGCTGCCCCTGCATCGACCCGGGTGTTACCTGCGTGGGCCGGCAGTCCAGCTGATGAAATTGTTCTTTCAGGTCTCAAAAGTTACTTTGGAAGGTGAAACCTTCCTGAATTATGTGCCACTTCATTTTCAGATGAAAAATTGACAGATGTTACGGTTTAGACTTTGATGATAGTAAAGTACTGTCTTTGGAGTCCGACGGCGCCGGGTTTGAGGCCTGACTGTGGCGCTTTGTCTCTTGCCGTTCCGTTCCAACCCCAGCTGGTCTGACTGCCGAGGAGTCGACTGTGGTTCAGCTCTTACACTGACCACACGGAGCTGGCGTCAGATCCTGTGAGTCCGGGGTCCTCCCCACCCCCGACGTCCGTGCGAGTGGTGTCTCCGGGACCCCCGCACGTCTGACCAGCCAGCTTGCAGCTCAACAGTGGTTGGATGGATTTCCTGTGTAGGAAAGCGCAATACACTTGGCCTTTAAGCAGCACAGATTTCAGCGACGTCGGTCCACTTGTACACAGTTTTCTCGCTGAACACAGTGTAGTCCTATAAACGCATTTTCTCTTCCTAATGATTTCCTTAATATTCCCTCTACTTTATTATAAGAATAGGGTACAACATAGAGAGCACTCAAAATACGTGTTAATTGACTTGACGTTATCGGCATGCCTTCCAGTCAACAGTAGCTACTGGAAGGTTTTTGGGGAATCGAAGGTTACACGCAGACTTCTGAGGCAGGGGACGGTCGGCACCCCTAACCCTGGGTTGTTGGAGGGTCACTGTACTTAAAGTTGCAGGTTGTTGGAAAGGATGCACGTCGGGCCAGGCCAGGGGCAGTGCAGGCCCTCGGTGCCCTCTCCCCTTGGAGCTGGGGTACACCCCCCTCCTGGCCCCAGTGTGCTCATCAACCGTGAAGCTCTCCCGAGCTTTGCTTCCAGAGAGAGTTTCTGTGGGGGTTTTATTATATAGTTGTGGTTGACTGAAGTCCATCTCCATTGCCGCCCCTTCTCTGCAGGGGTCTGGCTCCAAATTCCAGCCCCTTTAATCGCAGGTTTGATCTTTCTGCTACCTGGCCCATCCTGGAGTTATCTTGGGGCCAACCTTGAGTCCTCTCATTAGCGTAACAAAGACTCCATTCCCTCAGGAAATTCCGGGGGTTGTTGAAGCTTTCTGACAGGAAGGAAGAGCAAGTGTATTCATCACACATCAGCCTTGGCACACCTTCCTTCATCCCGCTCACCACTGTCTCTTCTGGGAGATGAGGAGAGTGATACCCACTTGGCAGGAGTGGCGTACAGGTCACGTGATGCTGTCAGCCGAGTCTCCCAGGGGGTGTGGCAAGTAGTTGCTCGGTGACTTTAATCATTGCCAAGAGCTCTTTGGGTGACCGCATGGGAGCAGTCATGAGGCCGTGCACTCACAGCCGTCCTGGAAGAAACCTGGGACGTCTCTCAGATTTGCACAGAATCACACCCTACCTTTTCTAAGTAAATACAGATTTCCAGAAGACAGTCCGGTCTGTAATAAGCCATTCTGTCTTCGGCTCTCACTGTTTTCGTGTTTGGTTACTGTAAACACTTCAGCTTAATCTCTGTAGCCTAGTGAATAAATAGCAGGTCCTTCAATGTCCCTAGGTTTTACTCTAATTCTCTCCTTCCAAACGGCGCAGGAGCATTTCCTTTCCTCTGGGTCGTGTTTCTGATCTCTAGCACCTCTGAATTCTTTACAGTTCTCTGGATTCTTTGTTATAAAACCAAGGACTGAGTAGACTCGAGGACTGAGTCGTCTGTGCTGAGTTGAGCCAGTGGTTAAGAAAGACAGGAAGGCGGTGCTGTGTTTTGTCCCCTCCCGTGTCCCTCACATTGTCTTCCTTGCTCTGCCCCTCCCCCATCCCTCTGTCCCGAGGGCAGATCCCACAGCCTTCCCACCTACAGAAATCCAGAAGTAGGTGTTCTAGATCTTTCACCCGTATGCCTGCCTGGGGCCGTTCTGTTCCCTTGTGTGCTGTCCTGTGACACTGTTTGATTGTTTATGACTTGCTTTCTCCCCAGCTTTCAGAAATCTCTTCTTGCCTGATGACTTTTGCCACGTTAGAAATTACTGCAGTACTTAGTGGCTTAAAATCACCATTTTTGCTATGCCCACAATTTTATGGGTCAGGGACTCAGGAAGGGCTTGTCTAGAGGTCCCCCTGTGATCCACACATCCTCAGCTGGCGTGGCCGGGCCCGAGGACCCCCTTCCCCGGCCACACTGTGGCATCTCTGTCCCCCTCCTCCACTCATTGTCCTCTTTCTGGGCCTCCGTGTGGCTTCCCCTGGGGGTTCTGCGTCCTCGTTCTCACGTGATCAGTGGGTTCCAAGAGACCAGGGTGGAAGCCTCCATGCATCCTGAAGGCACTGCTGGGGGCAGAGACAGGGAGTCTCGGCTCTAAGAGCAGGGGACGGGGGGAATGTGAAAAACTGGGTGACTTGAACTCTTCGAACGTACGTTTCTGTCCTCACATTCTCTGTTTCATCGAGCATGTTGTAGCTCCCCCACTCCATCTGGTGTTGAAGATCCGTCACATCAGTGTCATGTTCTTTAATTTCTCAGCAGATTCACTCCGTCATCAAATAACTTACTGGGTTTTTACTACACGCCTGGCCCTACTAAGCTTTGGGAATTAAGAGGCTAACAATTCAAAAGAATTGTATATATCCTGATTTGGGGTCAGGGCACCTGGAGTAAATGATAGACAACCAGGGTCAGAGGGTAGAAAATGATGGGTAGTTGGAGAGGAATGCTAATTGAGATACGATGGTCTTGGAAGAGTTCTTCAGGAGTAGTCTGTGAGCACGCGTAGCCGGGAAGCAGGGGGGCGAGATCACCTGGCTCTGGGGGTCCCAGACAGACCAGGTTCGGCCACTCACCACACACAACCAAAGGCAGAGGGGCAGGTGGTGGTCAAACAGGAAAGGAGTCTATTTCAGTGAGGCCAACACCGGGAAGACAGGGGGCTGGCATCTCAAAGACAGTCTCCAAAGTGCTGCAAATACCTCCAGGTTTGCATAAGACAGGTGTGGGACAAAGGTCGTTGGGTCTGAGCTGGTGGGCAGTGAAGGTCGGTCATTGTCTTGGGGTCAGTCCTGGGTGGGGTCTTGCCGGCTCCGGGCAGTCCCTATTGCTTGAGGGGTTGGTTTCAGTTCCTACCAGGAGATGCTCCGCCTGCTGGGCTTTTTTTGCCTGAGTTAAGAGGTAAGCTGGAAAGAAGAGCTATTCTGTTAAAAGTACAGACTGAGGTCAGAATGAAGGTTGAACTCAAAGGATATGAAGGATGGAGCCATGCAGAGTCTGGGAGGAGAGCGCTCCAGGTAGAGAGCAGTGTGAGGATGTTTGCCATGTCGCAGAACCAGCCGGAAGTCAGGGTGCCTGCTGTGAGACAAGCGGGCATGGGGGGAACGCAGGGCCTTGGAGGCCACGGAAGGTGCGCGTGTGTTCTGCTGAAATGGGAAGCCCTGGGGGGTTTTGAGTGAGGAAGTGGTACCATCTCATTTTCATTCGTATTTCTATTTTTATAAAATCTGTGACTACTTTTAGTTTTTTTACTTTGTATTTGGAAACAATTATAAATTCACAGGAAATTATAAAAAGTTCGTAAGGGTTCCATGTACCCAGTTTATCTTAATTGTTACATTTTATATAACTGTGGCACTGTGCACCATGTCAAAACCAGGAAACAGACATATGTTTTTTTTTTTTTTTAAGATTTTATTTATTTATTTGAGAGAGAGAGAATGAGAGATAGCACGAGAGGGAAGAGGGTCAGAGGGAGAAGCAGACTCCCTGCTGAGCAGGGAGCCCAATGTGGGACTTGATCCCAGGACTCCAGGATCATCACCTGAGCCGAAGGCAGTCGCTTAACCAACTGAGCCACCCAGGCGCCCCAGGAAACAGACGTTTGTATAATGTGTTTATTTCTGTGCAGTTTCACACATGTGTAGATTCCTGTAATGACCACAGCAGTTGAGATGAGAACGATTCCATCAGCACTGAGATCTCCCATGTGCTGCCCTGAATAGAAACGCCCGCTCCACCCGTAACTCCAGGCAACCACTAACCTGCCCTCTCACCTACACTAGGTCACTTCAGGAGTTTGTATGATCAAGGGATCACACAAAACGTGACCTTTTAGGTTGGCTGTGTGCACCTCGAATAATGCCCTTGAGATGGATTCAGATTCTTGCGTGGATCCGCAGTTTACTCCTGTTTAGTGCTGGGTTGTATGAGGGGAGGGCAGTTGGTTTGACCTTTCTCTTCGAGGGCAACTTTATGGTTGTTTCCACTCTTTGTTACACATACCATGAACCTCTGTGTGAATAGGTTCTTGCCTGGACCTAAGGTTTGATTTCTCTGGAATAAATGTCTAGGAGCACAGTGGCTGGGTCATATGGGAAGTATATGGTCAGTTTTTTAAAGAGCTTGTCAACCCTTTTTCCAGAGTGGCTGTACCATGTGACATCTC